ATGACATTCCTTTCGTCTTCTCTCACCCGAGCCCCGTACGCTGCCCAAAACTGTAAATTTCCCAAATTTCGAAAAATTTACCTGGTGAGGGCTAACAAACTTACATAAAAATTGGGCAAAACCCACTTCATTTTAGTTTGGTTTAAAAAGAGCTACAGGGGTGTGCCCCTTTAAAATAAAGATAAAAAGGATCAAACCTTTTCACAAAACTAACAGAGGGAAATTCTTAGGAAACCACCCTTTTAATTTGAAATCAAAATTTTTATAACCCCAAAACATCAAATTTTTAAGAAAAAATTTCCCAAGAATGTAGGCAAAACTAAACGAAGATTTTTTTCGGTTTTTTTGTTTTCCCCGGGCAGCCCTCCTGGGGCCTTTTTCATTCTTATTTACCCTATCTCACCTATGGAATTTGTGCATGGGGTCAAAAAACAAATTTAAACCCTCTCGCCCCTAAATTTTCCCAAAAAAAAGGTTGCAGTTTAGAATGTAACAAATTTTAAATACAGGCAGCACACTCCCCAATATTCAATAACTAAACCTTTCCACCAACAAAAAATCCATACTTATTACTGTACCTATTTCTACATAGAAAAACTTAATCTGTTTTAACCCCCCCCCTCAAACCTCTCCTTGCCCAAACCCCAAAGGAAAAAATGATCAAACAAAAAAGGCAAGTTTAATCTTTGATGTTCCTCGTGTCCACTTACACTATGCCCAAAAATCAATTTCACATAAAAGGGGCCCCAAAATCTGGAAAACATTACCTTTTTAAAAATTAAAAAAAACACAACCTGTTTAAAAAATTCAAGTTTTTTCTAAAGATTACTTACTCACCCAAAACCAAATAAATACTGAAAACTGAAAAAATTATAAATTTTTATCTTAAAAGTTTTCACAATTATATCCATAAAAGTTAAACCCAAAACCCCAAACTAACTTTAAATTTTTTTTTAAATACATACCTAACGAATCAAAACCCAATGAAAGAACCATATGGGCCCGTCTTTGTAATACTCACTTGTGGGTTTATGTTATTTGTTTTCATTTTTTTTTTTTATCATTTATTTCATCTTTTCTTTTGTAGCAGCGCTGAAAAGTCCTTTTGGTTAGCGTTTTTTTTTTTGATTTTAAAAATAATAATTAATTTATTTTTCCCCTTTGTTAATTTAAAATTAATTTTTTAAACCCGCCCCTAAAAACTTTGATAGTATTTAAATGGCTTTGGCATTAAATGTTTATCTGTATTTTTTTTTTCCCCTTGTGTGCACAAATTGGAAATAAAAAAATAAATAAAATAAATAAAATAAATAGGTGGGAGTGGGAGGGGTCTCACTTTGTTGGGTTGGCAAGGGGATCCCCTTGAAACTTTTTGCAAGTTTTCCCGGGTTTTTTTTATTTACATATGGATTTGTTCCCCTTTTCCCTTTATCGCCCAAATTTGGGTAAACACATATTCCCCCCACGTCGGGGAGCCGGGGCTCGATACGGCTTAAGCTTGGGGGGGGGGCGTGGGCCCCCTTTTAAAACCCCCAAAAACACACAAAAAAAAAGAAAAAAAGTGCATTTTTTTAGGGAAGTGTTTACTTTCCCTTTTTGGGGGGAAAAGAAAATCCAAAGGAAGTAAGAAAAAATAGTTCTCTGACTACATTAACTTATCCCGGGTTTTCCGTAGCTTAATAGTGTTTTTTCATGATAAAAATTTTTTGACCTCTTGGAGTGGGGTGAGGAACAGGTACAGGACTTATAAAAGGAGCGAAAGGCCCAAAACACTATTTTCTCAAAAAAAAGAAGGTTTAAACATAACCCCGGGAAAAATTTTGGGGAAAACTAAAAAAGTTGGGGTTATAGCCATAAGCCCGTAGATAGGTCTAACATAGTACTCACTATCGATTTAAAGAGGTTTTGCCCCGGGAAAAATCTAAGGTGGCAAATTGCTTTAATTCCTACTAACATCTGTTGCATCAACCTAGTAAGTAAACTACCCGCTGCATCAAATACCTTTAACAAGTTTTTGAAAAGTTTCAAAATTTCCCTTTTCCAATAAAGGGGTAACCCCAAAAAAGTTGTCAATGTAAGTGTATCTCATGGGGCTTTATTCAAAAAGAAAACTAAGCAGGTTTTAAAACCCCCCTAAAAAGCACAGGCCGGAAAAAATCCCGTCTAATTTTCCCAAAAGATTTGGTTTTCTGAACTGTCAATCCCAAAAACTTACATAATAAAAACTATCAAACAACCCCCTAATACTGTACCGGAGGGGTTAAGGAGGCCAGAGTTACTCCATCTTCAAAAGAAAAAAAAGTAGGGGCTGATGTAAGCAACTATAGGCCTGTTTGTATATCAGATAATAAAACTAAAAATTTAAGGGGGGTTTTTACTCTGAAGTAGTTAAGTACCCTTTAAAGAAAACAAAAAAATTTTCCCTAGTATCAATGGGCTTTAGAAGAAACCCACCAAAAACCCACACCTCCCCTTTTTAATCTGTTTGGGTTACCTGAGAAATGAAAAGTCAAAAAGGGGGGAACCTCATAGGTATGGTAACCTTAGACCTGCAAAAGGCCTTCGATTTCTGTAACCAAAAATATTTATGTAAGAAAAATTCAAGCTAAACGGTATAGGTTCTGTAGATGGTTTTTAAATTTTTACCTTAGCAACAGGAGACAAATTTGTCAAAATCAACCCAAAAGGAATCAGAACCCCTGCCGATAACTGTGGAGTTTTCCCCAAAGGGAGATTTGGGGCCCCCTTTTTATTTTTTATGTTATGTCAATGAAAATGCCTATCAGTGTCAAGTGCAAAAAAACCCATGTATGGAAAATGCAGTGCTCTGTTGTGTCAGGGAAAGACCCAAAGATATTCTAATGTTTTAACACTGGAATGGGGGTCCTGCGCAAAAGGTTAGTAGACAAAAAAATATCATTAAAACCTCCCGGGGAAAATGAAGCCATTCTCTTTGGGACAAAACATAAATGAGGGAAAGGGGAAATAATTTTAATGTTCAGTTAATGGGGGCCATCCCTTTTTGGGTTTATCGTAAAATATCTGGGATTTTTCCCCCTTTTACCCATCCTGCATTCAGGAGAATTTATAGGTAAAAAGTGTAGTAAAGGGAAAACAATGCCAGACTGAAGGGTTTTTTTTATAGACAAGCCAGTGTCTACCTATGAGGCTTTGCAGGACCCCCATGTCTAGCCCTTTTACAATGCCAAATGGATTACGGGTTGCTCTCGGTTTCCCTTTCCCTTTGGGCAAAAAAACTGAAGATAGACTTTCAAAACCCCGAACAAAATGTAAGATTCATTTCCCGGGGGCTGGGCCAAAAGGGAAAATTTTAGGCCAGGTGAATTACGCAGTTGGGAAAGCTGAATTTTTGAAGATAGAGTTAAAAAAGAAGCTAAATCATGTTTATAAAATTTTACAAAACAGTGTCCCGGGAAAATCTTGCTGTCAAATTTTGGGCAAAAGGTTGGGGGAACCCAAAACAATCATATTTCAGTGGACCCCCCATACCCTTGGCCTTTCTAAACGTTAAATCCGCATTTCCGTACATTTTATCGCCAAGATTTTTGCCCCGAAAACCGCTTTAAAAAACCCCCCAAAGCTGTTGTCATGTGCGGCCTGGCCACGCTAAAATTTTCCGCCCGGGGGCATTGTTTACCGCCAGCCTCCCTGGCCGCAGGACCCATTGTCTAGCCCTTTTTACAATTCCTATGGGGTTACGCTTGGGTTTCATGGTATCTGCCTTGACAAAAAAACTGAAAAATTGACTGAAAATCACCCAGAACAAAATCGTTTTAAAATTTTTATCCTGGGGCCCGGGACCAAAAGAAAAATGTTTTGGGCCCGGGGTGAAAAATTTCAGCAGTTGGGTATGCTGAATGGGTTTAAGAAAAGAGTTAAAAAACTGAAAGTAAATCATGTTTTAAAATTGCTAAAAAACAGGTCCAGAATATCTTTCTGTCAATTTTGTAAGGTTGGGAACCCAAAACAAACATATTATAGTGGACCCCGCCTACCCTTGGCCCTTTCATAACGTTTAAAACCGGGATACCCCTACATTTTATCGCCCAAAATTTTTCCCCCGGGATTCCGGGTTTAAAAAAAAACTCAACGGTTTGTCTAGGGGGGCCCGGGGCCACGTCACATGTTCCGCCGGGGCATTGTTTACCCGCCCCGCCTCCCCGGCTCGGGAGGACCTAGGGCTAGCCCTTAAAAACAAAGCCCTATGGATTTTGTTGCTCTTCATGGTAAATCTGCCCTTTAAAAAAATGGGAAAAATAGACGCAAATAAGAACAAAAACGGTTTAAAAATTATCCTGGGGCTTGGGGCCCAAGAGAACATGTAGGCCAGGAAAGAATTACCCGTTGGATATGGTGAATTTTTGAAAATAGGTTAAAAAATGAAGCTAAAAACATGTTTATAAAAATTTCTCACAGTGTCCAGAATATCTTGTGTCAATTTTGTCAAGGTTGGGAACCCAAAACAATCATATTAAAAAGGGGGACCCCCCCCATAGTTGGCCTTAATAAAGAAAAATCCGCCCTTCCGTACATTTTTTCGCCCAAAATTTTGCCTCGCATAACCCCTGGAAAAACCCCCTCAAAAGCTGTTCGTCTATGTTTCGCCTGAGCCCGCTCACTTTTTCCGCGGTGGCATTTTTTACCGCCCCCTCCGCGGAAAAAACCCAAACATAAATCGGAACATTTTTTATTATTAAGTGTTTTTTGGGGATTTTATCTGCAAAAAAAGGGGACCTTTGGGGCCCCAAAAAAGCTTCAGTGCCAACCCTTTCAGCAATTTAAAGGGGGAGGGTTTTCTTAGAGATGAAGAAAAAGATCATTTATAAGTATGAAAAGTGGGTGCGGTCTCCGAGGGTTTGGGCCCGGTTGTAAAAATAAACCCCAAACAAACCATCGTTCTATTGGTGGTACGCTTTCTGCGGCTGTGTACCCCCCGTCAGCTGTGTGCTTTTTCCCCGTAAGTGCTGCTGCTGCTGCACTGTCCTGCTGCTTTCTGCTGTAGACCGTCAGTGCTGCTTTCTGCTGTACCACCGTCAGCTGCTGTGCTGCTGTTATTTTCCGTCTGCTGCGCTGTTACAATTTTGCTGTGCTGTTGCATTGTCGCTGCTGCTTTTAGCACTGTCAGTGTTTTCTGCTGTTGGGACCACCGTTCAGGTGCGCTGTGCTGTTTTTTTCCATCTGCCCGCTGCGGGAGCATGTTTTGTTTCTGCTGTAGCAAGTCGGTTTCTGCTTTTAGCGACGTTGGGTTGCTGTTTAGCACTGTCAGTGCTGTGCTGTTTTTACCACCCTCGGGTGTGCGGGTTTCTGCGTGTAACCCCTTGCTGCTTTCTGTTGCATTTGTTTTGCTTTTGCTGTTTGCATCATTTGCTGCTGCTGGAGCCCCTGTCAGCTGCTTTCCGCTGTTTTTACCACCCTCAGCTGTGCTGCTGCTGTTGTAGCCCGTCTGCTGTCTGAAACATCGTTGCTGTGTGTAGCATCTCTGCTGCTGCTGTTGCCTGTCAGCGGTGCTGTGCTTTCTGCTGTAGATGTTGTTGGTGTGGGTTATTTGGGGAAAAGAAAAAAAACAATTAACCCCCCAGGTTTGGGCCCCCCGGGGTAACCCCAAAAAAAATCGTGGGCATCGAAGGGCTGTCTAATTATTTCCATTGGGGTCCTTAATCTTGTCTCCCAGGATTCAACCCCCACCAGTCGGGCTAACACCCCCGGTTTAAAAGGGGAAAAAAAACCGGGGAAATAGTGCTTTTATTGGTGAATTTAAAAACCAGCAAAAGGGGTTTGGGTTTTTAGAGGGTTTAAGAAAACGGGAGTGGCATCCCCGTGTGATTTGGCCCGTTTTTGGGAAAAAAAATGCCAAATGGAACCCACATTTCTCAGGAGGAAAAAGGGTTTCCCCGGACACGTGTTCATCCCGCATTGCTGAAACCTTTAATAAAGGTTTAAATGTCTTTTTTTCATTTGTTGAGTTTGTACCCTGCACAAATAATTTTGCCAAGGACTACTCTATTTTTGTGCTGTATCCTTTTCTTTGTGTGTAGGAAAAAGTATATTTCATGTGGGTTTTAAAAATTTTTTTTTTATACTTTTGGGTGTCTTTCACGGATTAATTTTATTTTTCCTTATTTCTTATGGGGAAAATTCTTCGCAAAAACGTTTAAATTTTGAAAAACAATGAGCTCTTTGGGATGGATTAATATGCTATGGGGGGGGTCCCCTGATAGGGGGGGGGAGCAAACTTTTTTTGGGACCCAGTTTGGCCCGGATTTAAACACCTTTTATTGTACAGAAAAAAGGAATGGAACAGGGTTCCCGCAATGTCAAAAACCCGTCATAGCATGAACCAGTTCAAGAAGGGCCAAAAGGTTTTCTGATGAAAGTAGCTACAGAAAGGGAGGGGGAATTTTTTTCTTTTTTTTTAGCTTTAAAATAGTGCAAATTTTTTTCCTTATTCCTTTGTAATTTCAGTGGTCAACTTGGGGCCCAAAATGGCAGGTTATGTAGCAGGCTAGTGGGGGGTTTTCAAGGATAGCTTTTGGTCAAAGAGGTGAACAGGGGCCCTTTCTTAAAAGAACTCAAATTTGAATGCTTTAGAAGTTACCAGGGGCAGCGAAAAGGGCATCCCAGTGCACGTTTCAGGTTAAAAAAGTTGAAGTGTTGTGCAGTTTCAGAGGATTTTGGGGGTTTCGAGGGCTGGGCCAGTCAGGCCTTCCCCCTCTCCCCTTTGGGGGGGGGGGGGAGGGCTTTTGTAGAAACGTGACCCCCTTTTAAGCCCCACCCGGGGGTCTCCCCCCCCCCCACCCAACCCCAAATCCCAGCGGGCCCCCCCATCTGTGGGGAGATAAGTAAGTTTATTCAGGTATACACAAATACAGTTACATAGATAATCATACATAGCAGCATATGTGTAGAGAACCTAGGATAACCCAAAAAAGTCAGACGGAGTGACTTATTTCCATTGGGGTCCTTTTTATTTCCATTGGGGTCCTCTAAGTCACTTTAATAAAAATAATCATCTTTATTCTACAAGTACATGTACAACGTATACAGACCTAGCTAACGTCAGTGACATGCTACTATCAAGCACCCCTGTCGAAATAAGTCACTTTTAACTTTTGGGGGATTATTCTACGTAATTACACACATGCTGCTATGTATGATAATTTATGTAACTGTATATATGTATATCTGTACCCGAATAAACTGTACTTGCTATATAGAAAGTCCCGTGTTATGCAGAACATTTCGAGCAAATTAGGTCAATTTTATCCCCAGGATGCGACCCACATCAGTCGACTACACCTAGGTACCTATTTTACTGTTAGGTGAAGAGGAATAACAATTGTCGTAAGGAAACACGTCCTAATATTTCCACCCGTACCAGGATCGTTAGTTTAATATCTTTATTATGCACCCAATACCCATCCTGTGGGCGGTAGTCAAAAGATTACAGGGCACATAATGGGTCCAGGGACTGGACCCCAAAGTTTTGATAGCTGAACATGGTACAAAGGTAAAGAACTCCAGGTAGATCTGGTCCCGGTGTGGCCGTATGAATTGCTCATTACTTTATAATTTGTTTATGATTGTAACCAAGTATAGACGTGTAGATGATTCATTACCTTTGTAACTTGTTCATGATTGTGACCAGATCTACCGGGATCGAACCATGGACCTCAATGTGTGAAACGAGTACGCTACCAACCGAGATACAGGACACTGACCCTTTTTTTGGGGGGGGGGGGGGTATCCTTGGTAATTTACACATATGTTATTATTAATTTACACGTATGTTATTATTTATTTACACATGTTATTATTTATTTATTTATTATTTACACATATGTTATGATAACTGTATTTATATGGACCTGTACCTAAATTAACTTCTGCCCGAAATGCCCCGGCATGATAGTGGTTTTCTTTGTACTTAACAAATCAAAACTGTATATACACAATGTAACCTTGCAAAGAAATAAAATCTTTATCTTTTTTTTTTAATCTTTACCCGTGTTTACTCGTGTTTTCACGGTCGCTCTTACGTGCTAGAACTTTAATTTGTGTCATCAATCCTATACGATACATCCCTCTAGCGCCTGGAACCAATCTTGGGCGGAAAACATTATATACTGAGTCAAAAAAGGAGAATTAGTGTGCACTGCGTAGCAGAGTTTACTGCCAGAGGGGAATCATAGGCCTGTTCCCGTGTGGAAAAAAATAATAATAATTGAACTTTTCATGTCAGAGGAAAGAAAGTCTCCCTGATAACATTGAGTATACATAGTGTATAGTGTATACTACAGTGGCTCCCTAGTATATTGATGATAAAGGCTAAAGTGTCATTTGAAAACAGGTGAATTTGTAAATGAAGTGATAAGCCTATAGAGGAAGGTGCCAGAAGTCGCCAGAAACTTACCACAGGTCAGCTGTTTTTAATAATCTTCCTGGCCTGCTAGTGTACTCGCATATAATCTAGTGATACCAGTGAATAGCAGAATACAGTGTTGTAGTAGCAACTAACCAGTATTATAATGGTACTTAGTGGAGTGGAGTGACTTTCATTAGTTTCTTTTCTTGAAATACGAGACGTTTACTGTGAATTTCATATAACCTGTAGTTACCCAGCGGTCGCAATATACACAACGAGAACAATTATTACTACAGAAAAAGCGTCCTTCCTCCAAAATTTCACCAGTCAACTATAGTGATAATATAGCATTTTTTGTGGGGGAGACGAAAAAAAAAAAATAGAAAAGCCAGATACAGCGATTGATAAACAAGGAGTGACCGTTCGTCATTGTAGGAGCTGCCAGATATCACCGGCTCTTCAACACGCAAGTTATACTTTGTTTTCAGTCAAAATCACATATTCCCGGGGTAATAATTTCCAGAGATCCTTCATGTGTTAGCTCAAATCACCGACCAGTATTTTTTAAATAAGTGACCCACTGATCAGAGCAGATCGACTGGTCCGGACCCTTGACTGTCCGAACCCTTGACTGGTCCGAACCCGGGACTGGTTTCAAACAGTTTCGTTGGACAATAAAGCAGACTGTAAACGTCAAAATGGTATACAATACCGACAGGTTGTTAGGTAAGACACATTTGCAACAGTTAGACAACTTTATTCCGAAACGTTTCGCCTACACATAGGCTTCTTCAGTCGAATACAGAAAGTAGGCAGGAACAGTAGAGATGTGAAGACGATGTAATCAGTCCATCACCCTTAAAGGTCGTAGAATTTGAGGTTGTCACCCCCGGGCCTGGAGAAGTTCATTCCATAGTCAGGAACTATCTGAAGATCAAGCGACAGTGCGGAGACTTAAATACTGTCGGAAGGAGAGGTGCAGGGTAGTAGTAGTAGTAGTAGTAGTAATAGTAGTAGTGAGAGGCAACTGAGAGGTCATGTCCCTCTCAGATCCAACCCTTCTCACTGAAAAGCTTGTACAAGGGGTTTTTCTGTATCAAATGCCACGTTTGCAGTGTCTGACAAGATGAACATCAAATGGTATACAATACCGACAGGTTTTAGGTAAGACACATTTGCAACAGTTAGACAACTTTATTCCGAAACGTTTCGCCTACACAGTAGGCTTCTTCAGTCGAATACAGAAAGTAGGCAGGAACAGTAGAGATGTGAAGACGATGTAATCAGTCCATCACCCTTAAAGTCGTAGAAAAATTTTAGGTTGTCAGTCCCCTCGGCCTGATGAAAACTCACACTCACACGAGCTTTTAAATCTCTGCACAAAATTCAATTTAAACCAGCAAATAAAGAGCCTACTAACTGGAGAATACACTAGACCCATATTCACTAACAATGATGATCTGATAAGAAATGTCACCATATCAAAACAATATACTCAATCACAACATAATTGAGGTTCAGACATGTATGCGAGGAGCCCCAGACCGACAAAAATGAGACCAGTCACGAGGGAGCATTCACCAAATTCAACTTCAATAACAAAAACATAAAAGTGGGACCAAGTAAACCAAGTCCTAACCGATATAAGCTGGGAAGAATACTAAGTCAACACAGACCCCAACTTAGCCTAGAACAGATTAACTCGGTGGGACTCGATGTATGCACAAGGCTTATTCCTCTAAGAAAAAGGAGGGGTAGATGTAAAAAAGAAAAAGACAGGCGGTCCCTTACAGGCGACGGAAAAGAATAACAAGCGGCTAAAAAAGGTCAATATA